TCTCGGAGGTTGCTAGAGCTCTGTGTTGTAGGCGTCTCCTTATCTGCAAGACCAGTCCTAGGCTTGGCTCTTGGCGACGCTGCCTATGTGTGGAGTCTGTTTCTCTCCTCTGCTGACAGCCTGGGCTGCGGCCAGGGTCCCCTCTGACAGCCTCTCAGCCATGAGCCCTACCTGGCTTTTAAAATGCGGATGTGCCCGAGGGTCCCAGGACTGGAACCCCAGACCCTGCCCTGAAGCTCCGGATCGGAAAGGGGCAGCCAGGCCTCCTCGGGGTCCCCCCACCTCCGCGCAGGTCTGCGGGGGTCCTCCACACCCCGGCCTGTGGCTGAGGCAGGAAGAGACCCCAGCAACCTGGGGAGCCAAACGGGTACAGAGGAGCCGGACCGAAGGGAGAGCTCGACTCAAAACTCAAAACCTTAAAAATGGGTCCGGGGTGTAGCTCAATGTGAGGGCCCTGGGTTCAATCCCCACTACTGGGGGGAATAAAGAAAACAAAACAACTACTGCCTCATGGCAACACTGAGGGGGCAGCTGAAGGCGTCCCGGGTCAGGGACGCTTGGCTTGGTAGCGGCTCCTGCCCTCCGGGTTACCTGAGGTTTTAACCCTATAAGGAGAGCCAGGGACGCCTCCCTCTTCAAAACCTGAACTCCCGCGCTGGGCCCCAGCTGTTGCCAGAACCAAACCCGGGGCGGCGGTGCCGCTGGGCCAGGTTCCCAGCTCCAGAAGTCCCAGAGGGCAGAGGACAGCCCGCCCACCCGCCTTTCCCGGCCCCTTAAGGAAAGGAAAGGAGGGGAGTAGCTCGAAAGGATTCTTCAGATCTTATCTGCCCGCCAGGTCTCTATTGAATGTAAACTCTCCTGGCCCCTAAACCCCTAAACCTGTACCGGGAAAGAGTTCGGGGTGAGAAAGGGAAGATTAGGAACATTCACATTCCAAGTGGTAGATATCTGGTCCACGATTTTTTTTCCAGACAGGGTCTTGCTATGCATTTCAGGTTGAACTTGAACTCTCTATGTTGAACTCATGGAGAACCTCCTGCTTCAGCCTTGTCAGCGCTGAGATTACAGGTGTAGCCAGGGCTTCTAGTCCTTGTTTATCTCTGACCCCCCCCCAAGCCTTATCTCTGCCCTAACCTCCCCTGGGGCAGTGTCCCAACAGCCCTGCCCCAGCTTGCTCCCTCTTTCCTCCCTGCCCCCTCCCTGGTGGCCCTCAGCACTTTCTCTGGGCCCAACCCCTGCACACCTGTCTCCTTGACTGAGCCTGCAGGGTGTTGACAGGCCTGCAGGGGCCAAGGTTTTCTCACCCCCTGAGACACACAGTAGGGCTCCATGCAAATTGCTGCCTAACAGGTGCCCAATGTCCGCTTTGGTGCACTCAGGAGGCTGAGGCAGGAGGATCACTATGAGTCTGTGAGGCCAGCCTGGGCTACATAGTGAGTTCAAGGCCAGCCTGAATATATAGCAAGACCCTGTCTCCAAACAACAAAGCCAGAAAGGATGGAGAAAAGGAAACCTTTGGACCATCAGGACTGATAGACCCCTGGCTGGAAAAAAGCAGAGCAAAGGCTGAGCGTCTGGGTCTTTATTTGCGGCTCTCTGCTACGTTTTGGGTGGGGAAGAAGACTAAGTGGACGCCTGTCCAGGGGTGAGTTTTCCCAGTAGGTTTTTCCAAAGACCACTTCGCACCTTCTCTCTCTGGAAGTACTGGCGTTTGAACTCAGGGCCTTTGCACGGAGCTGTGTCCTTGGCTCTTTGTACTTTTTATTTCGAGTCCGAAACTCAGAATGGAGGTGGAGCACCTTACAGATGCCAGCCCTGAGAGCTTCTGTTTTCATTTTCCTAGAAGCCGTCAGCTGGAGGAGAAGCCCAAACTGACTCAAGGCAGGAGCCCCAGCAGGAGAGCCACTCCCAACATGCCCCAGAGTGCCAATCACCAGATGTGTGTGTGAGGCGCTGTGTCTCCTGCCCTGGCCCAGCCCCAGCCACTCCAGCTGATTCATCATGAAGAGGCCAGCTCCCAGCAGGGCCAATTCAAGGTTGGCCTTGAACTCACTGTGTCTCCCAGGCTGGCCTCAAACTCGTGGTGATCCTCCTGCCTCAGCCGTCTGAGTGTTGCGATTACAGGTGTGCCCCACCACGCCCGGCCACATCTGCACTCTTTATTGGTAGCGTCCCCATTTCACAGATGCACAAACGGAGGCACAGGAGTCTGGGTGGTGTGTCCAACTTCACAGAGATAAAAAGAGACAGAACTGACAGAGATCCTCCTGCCTCGGGCCCCTGAGTACTGGGATCACAGGCATGTCCACCATGCCTGCCTCCAGACTGGGCAATTTAGAAAGAATAGAGGTTTGTTTAGCCTCTGGTTCTGGAGGTCGGCAGTCCAGAGGAAGGAGCCAGCCTCAGGCTGCTCAGGAACACGGCAGAAGGCAGCCACGGGGAGACAGAGCCAGTGACTGGCTCAAGTCTCTCCCATCTGAAGCCACTGGGCCCAGCTTAGGGCGCCACCCTCATGACAGCACCTGGCCCTCATCTCCTCCATCCAGGAATGCACGGGAGGGGTTCTGACCGGAGCTTTGGGAAGCACCATCAAATCAGAGTGGGGTCTGAGCCAGAAGCCTCCGCCCCTGAAGTCTGCACAGCTGCGCGGCCGCCTCCAATGAGAGGCTTGTGGTTGCCAGGAGTTGGGGTGACCCCACCACTGTGATGCCCGCTGTCCAGTGCCCACTCGGGAATTGTCAGATCCCACAGGTGCCAACGAAGCGGACGAGGGCAGAAACATCTGTACTCTCAGCAGCAGGAAGAGAGGAGGGGTGGAGGGAGACGCAGCCGGGACGGTGGCCACAGGCCAGGAGGCCAGGGGAGGCAGCGAGATGAGCCGTGCCCACCCTTGTGGGACACGGACCAGTCCAGCCCATTGAAGAGGATGCGGCCTGAGGTGGCTCAGAACGCTGTGTGACCTCGCGGGGCTCGCTGCATGTCTTGGAGCCCATCCGTGTTGTGGAGTGGGATGTCCTGTGCACATCCTGGGCGGCTCCAGATCAGAGAAGGAAGCCTCAGCAGGGACTCCAGTAACTGAGCCACGCGTGGGAGGGTGTGCGTGAGAGGGAGAGACGCAGAAGGCGAGGAGTCAGGTGTTTCCGGTCCTCAGGAGGCTGACGGGAGAGCGGCCACTGGCCTTGCTCTTTACTGCCTTCCTAGGTCTCACTGACCTTAGAAGGCGAGATCCTGTCTGCGTTCTAGGTGTGGGAACTGAGGTCCGGGAAGATTCCAATGCAGTCTGTGCACCCAGGTAAGGAAGTTCTCTTTATCGACCTCAATTTCCTTTTATAAGCAATAAAAGAATGCAGTTGAGGCCAGCACCGAGGATCTCCTTCTATAAGGGATGAGATGGTGAGTATTTTAGGCTTGTGGGGCCCTGGTTATCTTTATTCTGAGGATTCCCCTCTGGTGTTGGGGTGTAAAACAGAAACAGACAATCTGTAAATGACAAATGAGGCTGAGTGTACTGATAAAGCTCCGTTTATAAAAGCAGGCACGGTACTTCCCCAGGCTGGATGGCTGTAATCTAAAAACCCCAATACAAAGTGATGCTGAATCCAGGGCCCTCACACACTGCTGTGTAACCTGCAGCCACTTTGGAAAACAGCCCGCAGGTCCTCAGATGGTCACAGGAGTTACCATGTGACCCGGCAGCTCCACTCCTCCCTAACTACTCAATGGCATGGAAAACGTACGAATACACAAGAACTTACACGGACATTCCTGGCATAATCCACAGTCACCCCCCAGATGCCTCAGCTGGTGAGTGGATCACCAAAGAGGGCAAAGTCATAATGAAATATTATTTGCTCATAAAAAGGCACGAAGTGTGGACCTGCTACACTATGGAGAACCTTGAAATTGTGGTAGAGGAAGAAGCCAGGCACGAGGGACCCGAGGAATGATTCCCTTTACAGGAAATGTGCAGAAGAGGCAAATCCGTGCAGACAAAGTTTGATCAGTGGTTTCCGCGGCTGCAGTGGAAGGAATCAGGGTATGATGGTGGAGAGGGTGACCGCTGAAAGCTACCGGTTTCTTCTTCACAGGATCAAAATATTCTGAAATTGACTATGGTGATGGTTATATGTATCTCTGAATTGTATATTTAATGACTTTAGTGGTATGTGAATCATATATATGTATATATACATATATATATATATGTATATAATTCATTTTGTTTTGTTTTGCTTTGCTTTGCTTTTTCACTGTGTATTCCTGGCTGGCCTTGAACTCCCTGTATTCAGCAGGCTGGCCTCAAACTCACAGAAATCCTCCTGTCTCAGCCTCCCAAGTGCTGGGACTGCAGGTGTGTGCCAGCACACCAGGAGTGAACCATATCTTAATAAAGCTATTATTTAAAAATTAATTTACTGAAAAACCTGAAGAAAATGGAGGGGCTGGGATATAGCTCAATGATACAGCATTTGCCAAGGTTGCAGTAGGTTCCAGCACTGTGGAAACAGAAGGGAAAAAAGGAAGAGGAGGAGGAGGAGAAAGAAGAAAAAAAGACCAGGAAGGAAACCTCAGGTGTAGATGGAAGTGTTACAAAGATTGATTTTGTGCTTATTTCATGTCTGTATACATCTGCTAAAACGGATCACATTATATACTTGAAATGAGTGAATTTAATATTGCACCCCAATAAAGTTCTTAAAGAAAAAGAAAACAGGTCTCACAAGGTGCAGTTAGTTTGCTGGTCTCCTATCTGAACGACGGGCATCTCAGGACTCCAGATTCCAAGGCGGCAGTTGTCCAGCGCCAGCTGGTGTGGCTAAAGTGAGGAATCCACTGGCGTACACAACTGAGGAGTCAGAAGGAGAGGCGGGGGAGGAAGAGGCTGGCGGAAGGGGCGGACCCAGGGCGATGCAAGCGCATGCACGTTTCCAAGTGGCTCACGCAACTGTGGCGGAGGCAAAACCCCGTATCTGCTGCCTGGAAGCTGGATACCAACAAAGCCAGTGGTGTAACCGGCGACTTTGAGCCTGAGGACTCAGCATCACTGAGGCGCACACCAGTTCAGGGCAGGGGATGCGAATTCAAGCCCAGAGAGCACAGCAGGGAAAGAATAAAGCCAGACCTAGCCCTGCCTTGTGTTCTGTTCAAACCCTCAAGAGACTGGTTGGTGCCCAGCAATGCAGGAGCAGCTGCCTACTCACCTGAGCCCGCTGATCGCATTTGGAAGCCCCTCACAGGCACACCCAGGTAAAACATTAAACTGGGAGCCTCTGATCCAAAGTTGACCATCATAGTTGGGCTTCAGGCACTGCTGGATCTAGAGGTGCAAATATCCCCAGAATCTGGCTCTTTTCAACCTCTGAACTCCATCAAATTACCAGCAAGTCCTGGTACATTCTTTCAAGTTGAAGTCCAGCAGAAAAGATTAGTGTTTTCTGAATGCTATTGCAAAAATCATTGTGTCCCATTGATTCTGATTGGGCCATTTGCCCACCTCTGGTCCAATCCCAGTGGCCAGAAGAATGCAACGTTCTGATTGGCCAACCCTGAGTCACATGGCATCCTTGGTGCTGAAAGATGGATTTAACATTGCTCAAAGTCCAGGGACTAGGCACCGGGTGGAGAGGGAGAAGGAGCTCCCTGGAGGAAAACTGAGGTGTTAGCCTAGGGGGGGATCTAACAGAAATCAGGAAGCATTTATTATGCTAAATATTTTTGCTTAAACCCCTCCAAACCCCAAAGGAGTTAAACAAACACTGTTAGTCAATGACAAATTGAAGCCCCCAGGAGTGAAGGCAGCGTGCAGGTCACCGGCAAAGCAAACCTCTGACCCCCTCACCCCAAGAATTTCACCTTTGCTCTCAGCATGAGGCTTAAGTACCTGCAAGTCAAAACAGAAGGGGTCATTTATTCAACAGACGGTTATTACAGCCCGCCTCCCACACCATGTCTGTAAAATTCTCTCAGATCAGGAAATTGAAAGTCGTGGAAATTAAGGGGCAGACGTAAAGTCTGCGCAGCAGCATGCAGGGCTGGCTCCTGGGCTCTGGGGGCAGCGCCCCACTGCTGAACTGCAGAACCTTTGACAAGGAAGCAGGCTCTGGCTCAAGTCCAAAGTCTTGGGTCCAAATCTCCGCTCTGAGGCTAGTGAAGCTCGCCTCTCAGCTCTGCCAGCCTCTGCAGGATGTGGCCCTGGCCCGCACCTGTGCCCAGACTGCCCTGGTGTCTGTCACCTTTGTGACCCGCCTCCTCCTACCTCGCACATTTCTGTTTCTTGCTCAGAAATGGTTTCTTCTCACCCCTGAGCATCCAGATGTGCTGTTCCCCATGTCTGGAAGGCTGTACCTCCATCTGTCCAAGACTGGCATCGCTGGATACTCCGGCATCTCAGGGAGGTCCTAACCCCCGATCCCAATGCATCTCTTCCTCTCCCGGTGCCTGGTTTTGTGTTTTCTCTGTCAGAAATGAATTTTTTTTTATCTTTAGCTCTGTTCATCTTTGCCCCTAGAATTTGTTAAGTTCATGAGACTAGAGACCTTGCCTATCTTTTCAGCATCCGCATTGCCCAGAACAAAACAGGGGCTTGAGAAATCTCTGTAGAATGAGTGTTGGAATCTGCCCGTCCTCAGAGCCCAGCCTTCTGGTCTCCCATCACCCCAAGCCAGCTCTAACACTCGTCTCTCTGCCTGCCTCTCTAACCAGCCATATTCTTTAGCCTCGCAGAGGGGAAGGTGTCATCAGGGGGTAAGCCGGGCCTTATAGTCAGACAAGCCCGGGTCCTGATCCCAGTCTTGCCATAAGCCGTGTGACCCTGAGTGAGTCACTTCACCACTCTGAGCCTCAGTTTCCCCACCTGCATAAATGAAGGTCCAAGTGCAATCTCTTTTGTGGGGGCTGGGGGAGAACCAGACATAGCTGTGTAGGAACTGGTGCCGTGCCTTCTTTGTTCTCTGCTGAATTCCCCAGTGCCTAGGCCAGTGTGAGGCACACTCAATAAATAGGCGCTCGATAAGTAGCTTCTGCAATGAGTTAATGTCAGTGTCTAGTGGACAGAAACCAGTCACTAAAATGCAGTTTGGGTTTCATCACATTATTCTCTGTGAGTGGATGGGTGGATGGATGGGAGGGTAGGTGGCTGGATGGATGGATGGTTGGATGGATGATGGGTAGACAAGTGGGTGAGTGAATGGATGGATGGATGGATGGATGGTGGGATGGATGGGTGGTGGGATGGATGGGTGGATGGGTGGATGGGTGGATGGATGGATGGGTGGGTGGATGGGTGGATGGATGG